CTGCTGCGTCGGAGCGCTTTGGGCGCAGACCCCGAGCCTTGCGGAGTTTAGGCTCTCGGAGTCGATGCAAAGCGGACAGCGCAGCCTCCCAGCTGACAGCGGGCAGAGCTCTGTGCACTTTTCTGTGCGACCTGAGTGTGACATAGTGTGACCAGGTTGGCAGTCGCGCACGATGGGCATGGCTCGCCTTCGCACTGGGTGCCAAGCTGCCCCGAAGAGCAGCGACTTGGCAGTGCACCGGTGCTTCAGGCTTCATCCCTAGAGTGCTAGAGCATCAGGCAGCATCTGAGAGTTGCTCCCAACCTGCCGCTGTGGTATTTCTACACGGCAGCGGGGATTCTGGCGCCGGGTGGCTGGTCTTGAATGGTTTAGGATTCCGCTTCGATGCTACGGCACTGCTTTTGGTCAGGTAAGGTTGAAAGCATACCTTCGAGCTGTTGACGGTGGCGATTTGCTCGACGAGCTGGCAGTTCAGGGCATAAAAACTTACTGGCCTGACAGCGGTGTGCACCCGCACTTGGACACAAGGAGTCAGTGTCTCTCATTCCTGCTGTCATGGCCCTTTTGTTTCCGAGGTACACGCTTGCCGGAGGGGAGTCCATGCCAATCTGGTATGAGTCTTGGCAGCATGGAACCACAGGAAAAAACGGAGTGGCACGATTGTATTGTCGAAATGGCTCCGTAAAGTTTGCTTTCTCTCAGGACCGAAAGGGCCTGCCGCCTACCGCGCCAGAAGACACTGCCTCTGTCGAGAAGTCTGTCCACATTCTTGTCAAGTTGCTCGATAAGGCCAATGTTTGCATGGAGCTCGCGTTCAGCACAGAGTGTGAACGTCTACGCTGCGTGTGAATGCGGCTGGACAGGTCAGGGCAGATGGTGTTCCAGCAAACCGTATCGTGATCGGAGGTCGGGATATGTTCGCTAATGTTTTTGATGTGTTGACCTCGCTTGCGCGCTGCACAAGTTGTTCGTGGTTCGATGTGTTCAAGGCTTCTCCATGGGAGGCGGCATCGCCCTCCAGCTTGCTCTGCGGCATCCGACAAAGATTGCTGCTGCTTTCGTGCTGTCATCCTTCATGTGTGATGACGTAGCTGCCTACGCACTGCTTCAGACTCCGCCATCGTGCACGACTTAGCTACTTCATCTTGTCGACTCCAACATGTGCAAAAGCTGGCTGTGCGATGGCTGCTTGAAACCCATCGTGTAAGGGTGGATGTTCCCATCTTGATGATGCATGGCGAGGCATTGCTGGATGACATTGACGAGTTGAAAGCTATTGGCTATTGGGGCAAGTGTCTTATATGCGTCAACCTGCAAACTGTACGCACTCGTGACAGGCTGATTGGTTCATTCGGCCAGTCTGGGGCAAGGACACGGCGGCGCGCTTGAAAGATGCGGGGTTGAACGTCGACTTCGTTTCCATCCCGGGCTTACGCCACGAGATCAGCCGCAAGGACTGTCCGTGCCGACATTATGCTCGCTACCAACTTCGTGACATCCCACTTAGTCAGGAGATCGCCCTTCTGCGAAATTGGCTCTGGAATCTGCTCAAGCTGTGAGAGCACCAATGGCGAGAAAACTGCGAAAAAAGGGTACCCAGGCCCTCCTGGACGCTGGACGCGACTTTCAGCTGATCTCACAGCTTGGCTTCGCCAATGCACCTGCGACGCCAGGACCTCAGGACGAAAGCGTCCACGTGAGGAGCGCCGAGCATGCCCAGCCGCAGCTGCATAAGTTGTGCTTGCGCTTCTGTCACCCCATCGCAGCATGAGCGACATCGGCAGCAGAAAGATTATTGAAATGCAAGAATTTCATTTCGCAGAGGTCGATGCATAATAACTGCTTGACATCTCCCCTTGACTGAAACGTGCTGAACAAAGCCATGTAGGAATTAACCACTGCAGCATTAGCTAGTGAGTGCTGCTGTCAAGAGCTTCAGCAATGCCGACCAAAAGCATCAGCATGCAGGCTCCGTGTGGCTCCCGTGTGCAACGGTCATGGAAACGCGTGCTGCGAGTCCGAGTCCTGCAGGTGCTGAAGCGCGGGCAGCAGGTGAAAAAGACTGTGGACCTAGCAGAAGGTGCAACAGTCAAGGCGGCTTGGCTTCTTTCGCAAGAGGTGAGCAGGGGTGTGGGCATGCAGCAAGTGTCAGAACGCGAATCCCAGGATGTCGTCTCCAAGTTGTCGCAGCTGTTCCCTAGTTGCCTTGATTGGAGTCCATTGCGAGAGTAGGGATCTGATTTCGATGGCCGTAAGATCTGAGACGAGGACTGGGACCTCCAAGTCATCTCTGTTTGTTGCAGAAGTTCGCAACCTCGACAAAGTGCGTCTTTACAGTGGTGAGGCAGGGTCCAAGACCCCTTCCCCTTCCGTCGGTTCTAGTGCCCTAGCCAGCATGGAGAAGCGCGACAGCTGGCTTGTCATGAAGACAAGGTCGGTGAAGGATAGTGAGGGCTTCGAGTCTCGTGTTGACCTTTGTCACTGGCGCTTGCAAGCGGTTCGTAGAGCGCAGAGCGACGTGGCGCGTGGTGACAATGGGGCAAACGCTGATGCACAAGTGAGGTACCTGGGAATCTTAGCCGTGGGAACAGGCATCGTTTCTTCGTGCCTGTTTGATAGCTCTGCAGATCGGAGGATTGCTGCCTACAAACTTTCTTTTAACTTTTCCCGTGGATCGTTGGAGCAAGCCTCCCAGTGATTGGGATTCTTACGGTTCGGAGTTCGGAACAATGAGCGGTGACGGTTGGGGCTAGACTCGACTGGACGAACGCTGACGGTACAAACCGCGAAAGCTCGTCGGGCTGGCCTTTCTAGCATGGAGTACTTTATCCTGTTGTTCGACCATCGATCCAGCGCGGAGGCTCCAACGGGCACCTTTGAAGTTGGAGGCTTGGAGACCATCGAGGACGGTCAACTTCGACTCAACCTCCGAGTGCTGTAGGGATGCCGGGATGCCGGGATGCCTTTGCCGGTCGTACTGGTAGGTCCAGTACTTGCCTTGTCCAGGATTTGCCAGAGGTCATCCACGTGGAGTACCTTGCTCAGATTACAAAGCCAGGTTTTTCCTCCAGAAGCTGTGTGCCCTTAGCAGAAGTTGACTGCGATCGCTGTGTTGCATTTGCAGAGCAACGGGCTCACCAGTGAAAGGGGCGTCTTCAGCAGCAGCTACAGTCCTACTTTAAGCATCAGCGGTGTTGAAAGTACGGGGAGCCAACATGGAGTTGCACGAAGTTGCGTGTGGATGGTATAGCAGAAACAAGACAGGACTAGACAAGTCAGTGTCAGTCTCCCTTCAGGCACCAGGTGAAGGCGCTTGGACTGCAGGAGTCGCTGCAGAGCCTCAGCACATTTCAGTTTGCAGGCCTTTGTCGGATGAGCCGAGCGCACTGCCGAGGCTTCTGGATGATCTGATCGTTGCTTATAAGAACGTCAGTCGGCTGCAAGGCAGTTTGCAGACCACTTGGAGCGTGGATGATTTGGAGGCGTGTTGGTGCTGCCCAGGCCGATTTTCAGGCGAGCCTCTCCAGGTTCCAGCAATCATTCCTGGACGGTCAAACGGATATCCGTCAATACAGCGTTCTCCTGGATCCTGTGCTGAAGCGAAGATTCATGTGATCACAGTTGACTAGGAGACACTCTTTACGACCTTACAGTGCTGATGAGGCAGATGTGGCAGGGCACGCACAGGAGCCTGTGTTTGCCAAATGGGGTTATGATGCCACCACTTCCGGAAGGATGGAGCCACGCCGACAAATTAAACCGCTCAGCCGGGAAACTGGAACTGTTGTGCAGATGCTTCCTGTCTGCTTCCTGCCATGAAGCCAAATTTCTTAGCATGACTCCCGAGGACATGTATGCTGCCATGCTGGATGTGCAAAATATGGAAGAAGTCAGAACAAAGCAGCTGGAGGTTAACAGGCTGTTGCCCGGCAGAGCGTTTATGTTTCGGTGTTTTCTGCTTCTCCGGCACATGGACGAAGCTTCACAACTTCGTAAGGTTTGCATTTCATGTGCTTCAGTTTGTTCGTGGCATCCCTGCAGCCGATGACATGGGACAGAATTTTGAGTGGATTCTGGCTGCGCGAGATTTTCGTTCTTTTGCCTTTGAGGCTCGGACAGACCTTCGAGTGGCTGCCAGAAGCAATGAGACCGGCTTTACCGCCTTCATGAGTTCAGTAGAGTATTATGGGCTTCAATGCTGGAATTGCTGCGCTCGTGTGCAAGACTTGATGCATCGTGTAGCAGTTCTGGGCAGGCGCTGTTGCCAAGGATACTGAACATGCACCGCTGTGCCCTTTGCCTTTGCTGTACATTGATTTGTCTACGCGGGTTCAAAAGGCAGTTGTGTAAGGGTTGTTCGCCGAGAGATCAATGAACGAGCAACTCTGCCCCATTGGTTGCAGTCCCCGGCTGTGCTACTGCAGGAGGCAGCTCAGAAGCGCCGTTCAAGGCGGAGCCAAAAAATTGTAAGGTGCGAGCCAAGTGGCCTTAGCAGCCCCTGCTGCCTTGGCTAGCTCTTCAACCCACAGCTGTTCTTCTGCCACATATGCCTCCAGGAAACTTGTTGACTGTTCGTTTGAGGCCAGTTGCTTGGCAACCGCAGGGCGAAGGTCTGCATTCAGGCGACCGAACTTTGACGTTGTCTGGGCCGTCGCACCTCGAGTCTCGAGGGCATGCAACTTGACCCGAGTAGGTGTTTGGCTGAAGCTCGAGATCTGGAGCAAAGGAGGAGCGCAACGAATGCCTGCTGCAGCTTTTGGATCGTGGCCTAAGCTCAAGGCTTCGCAGCTGACGAGGCCCGGTTCTCGGGCGCCACCCGCTGCCGAATTCGGGCGTGTAAAAGCTGCAGTGTCTGCAGGCTACGCCGGAGACTGAGGCTGCGATCTCTGCAGCCATGGGTGGCCAACCTACAGCGACAGTCTGTACAATCGGATGCTTTCGAAATTGGATCTAAGCGATGCCCCACATCTGAGACACGGGTGAAGCCATGACTTCTGCGCCTGCGCCTAAGATCGCAGAACGCTGCACGCCTGAGACCGCTGCTCTAAGCATGCATGAATCTGAAAGAGTGCCCCCCCTCTCGATGGATGCGTCTTCCCAAGCACGAGCTTTTGGGACATGCCTGACCCCGCATGCTTCAGGCCTGGCCGTGCTGCCCTGTCGCTCCTGACGCTGGAGCCCTGATGCACTGTCCGGGCTAGCCGGCATCGCACGTCGTACGTGCAAACATCGCTCGGACAAGTTTTTAGATATTACCTGCAATTGCCTCTCAAGCATGTCTTTTCTCAGGTGTAGGCACCGTTCCTGGTAGCATCTGCATCATTCCACGGCGCTACCCAAAATCACAGTTTTTGTCGAAGTTTGACAATGCAGCTTTTGAATCCTCACCACCTATGGTGCCATTCGGGGAATGCCTGTCTTCGCAGCTCTTCTGCCAATGTCGCCGCGAAGCCATTGTAGCCCATGATGGACGGCATCTCGATGCAACAAATCCATGGTGAAAGCCCCGAAGCACGGGATTTGCCTGGTCGCTCCTTGATCCATTCATCTCGAAGTTGCTGTATCAGATGGAAGTGGATTGCGCGACTTGCTTGCAAGTCGGCAACTCATCTCAAGGGTGTCCAGTTTCAAGCTTCAGACAGTTTCAGATGCTTGACAGCGGTCCGTGTGAGCCAAGTATACTCAGGGTTCTGATTCTGGCGGCTACAGCATGCGTGGCCGCTTTCGTGCTTGCAAGAACACCAGTGACGCTTGGTTTTCTTGCTTTTGGAACTTCCAGCGGCAGATTTGGGCGTGTCCAACTTGTCTGTGCTTGCGACGAGAAATTCAGGGTGATGCCCGCGACAACAACCACGGCTGCGCAGATCATCACCTCCACAAGCTCTGAGCCATTCAGTCCATGGTGTGAAGGAACCGCAGAGAAACAGGCCCTAGGCGAGAGTCGTTTATGGTGGCAGCATGATGGCAAAAATGCCCTGAAGGAGCAAACGTCTCAACTCTATCTCTTCCCAAAGCAGGATGGTGCTTTTGCTTGTATGGCGGCAGGCCGTGGAGGGAGCAATCTTCTTTCGTAAGGGAGCGTGAGAGTTGAGGGCCAGGCGACCATGCAGACTGCGTGCCACGGCCAGGGGTCACACGCTGACTGCAGGTGCATCAGCCATTTCAGCTGTGCCGGCGTCGCGCTGCGAGAATGCCAGCTGGATGCTTGCGGCGAAGCTTCGCTGGAAATCACTGCATCCACCGCATCCTTTCGAAACATCAGGAGTGGAGTTGCCAGTGTCAAGCTCCTAGCTCCTAGCTGAGCTTGGTGCCCGGAGGCTTGACAGCGACATCCTGAGCATACCAGTAGAGTATTTCCGAGACATCAAGAGGCTCTCTGACCGGTGCCGGAGCCTGAGCACTGCCGAGCAGATGAGCGCCCTGCTCAGCTCCCACGAGTATGGCCCTCGGTTGAGCCTGGCGTCTCAGGTCCAGAGCATGCTTCGCAACTCCTGGAGGCGCTCCTGGCAGCAGGGCGACGCGCCGCCGGGAGGCAATGGAGATGGAAGCTGGAAGCGAAGCCTGTGGCCTCCGGTGTCTGCGGTGACCTTGAGTCAGTGTCGTTCTTGAGACTCGCTGACACCAAGGTCTTCGTTTCGACAGCTGCAGGCGGCCCTGGTGCTCCGCAGCCTGAATTCCAATGCGTGCACCTGTGCCCTGGATGCCTTGGTGGGATGTTCCTAATCTGCCTTTGTGCCTGTGGTGCCTGTGCCTATATATTTGGCATATACAGCCATAGGCCTCAGACGTGTGTTAGCCTGACGGTTTGACAACCTCTCCCAAGCACTTTCAGCTCGATGACCTTCGAAAGCTGCATTCCTGACTTCAAATCTGCTGAACTGCAGGTCACGGGCTCCTGTGACAAGCATGCTTCATGCTTCGACTAGACGGAGCTGCATAAAATCCCTCCCCTCTCCCCCCGCCCCCCTCCATGTTCAGACTTCTGGGATGGTTCAAGACCACCGTACTCGAGCTTGCAAACAGGAGCTCGATCTTCCGAAAAAACAGAGACTTGTAGTAAACGATCATGCGTGCATGATCGGAAGGTCCTGAGACGCTGTCAAGAGTAAGTAAGCAGAGTATCAGCACAGCAAGAAGCCAAAGAGCACAGAGTACAGAGTACATGAAGAGCAAGTTTCACGCGAGGAAGTTCATGGGGGAATGTCACGTGCATCTACTCCTGATGCCAACACGAGGAGGCAAACTGTTGCACATATGAACATGTGGTAAGCTGCCGCCCCGCCCCACGTGCCCACGGTCTCGCCAACATGCCAAATGACCAGAGACTTTGGCAAGAATAACATACGGAGAGCGAGTACCCTTCTTTGCAAACTTTGGGGACCTCTGCATCTCGAAAACCTCTGTGCCTCTGTGCATCTCTGGGCACTTTTTCGGTATGTCGGCAGCCCAGCTTCCAAACTCTAAGCCGTGTGCATAGACCCAGGCTGGGAGGAAAGAGAGAACGGGGCACGTGGAGGGCAGGAGGTGGGTATAGGTGGGTGCGGGGTGAGGACTAGTTCTATGCCATTCTATGATTCTATGCTTTGTCTATATCCAGCTTCTTAAGGTGCATCTCTGATCTCATGAACTGTGGAAGTAGTCCACGCGCAGCTGGATCCAAATTCGATCTCCTTGCTGACTTGTGTCAAGGGAACCACCCATTACGTCATCTGGTCATCCAGTCTTTTGGCCAGTGCTTCGGGTTCTGAGCCAAAGCTACACTACAGGACTGCAGCTCAGCCTGTACCACATCGGCCCCCAGTGTGTGAGCATCCCTGCTGCCTCCGCGAGCGGTTGCCGGCAAGTGGTTGTGTTTGTCACAGTAGTTGCCGTAGTTGTAAATGCGCACGTCCGAGCGTGCATCCTGCTGATATGTCAGTCTTGTAGATTTTGCCATGTCGATTGCCGCCGAATCCCGCAGATCTGATGCTGATTTGCTGCCCGATCTGCCCGCGTGTGATGTTAGAAATGTTGGGAGGATGTAGGCGACAGAACCTCTGTGCTTCATCCGTTCTTTCGAACTTGCCAGGGTGTTAAGGCGCTGTGGTATTTGTCGGAAGCCTTGCTTGCGGTTGGGCACAGGGCTTGTTAGCGGGAACGTCAAGGTGGGACAAAGTTTCATCGTTGCAACTGCATGACTTCGAAGGGCTGCGTTGTGCTCTACTCAGGTATCCGTACGTCTCTGTACCATGGCTTCATGTGCACACCTTCATCGGGTCTGTGCCATCAGAAAAGCTGCCGGGCAGTCCGCCAGTTGCAGCCTGTGCATCGGCAGCGGCAGCTTGGCATTCGTGGCAGCAGACGAAGACAAAGGTTTTTGCACTGTGAAACAAGGTATCCGAGGCTGCTGCTGCACAGCACATTCTGGCACTTGCACGCGGATGACAAGTACGTCACTGAGCCGGAACCAGGGAGGCTTCATTTCCTATGCCGTGAACATGTGCCTTGCAGCCTCCGTAATGGGCCGCTGGATGGTGGGGTTGTTGGTGGCGCTGTACCTCGCGAAGACTCAATTTCAGGCAGGCTGACTAGCGACTGGGCGATCACAGCCTCTCGCAGGGCGCTTAGGCAGCTGTCACCCGATGTAGGTGGTTTGGCATCGTGCCAGCCAACATGCACCGATGCGCGAGACAAAAGGAACTTGCGTGGTAGATCTTGGTGGAACTGAGATGTTGCATTCAGGGTTGCGACTGTCTTTTGATTTGTGCCCCTCTGGTTGCAGCGGGGGAACTCAAACGGTCGACAGTTCAGCCGTGTTTCTAGTAGTGTGCAAGGCCCCGGCAGCAGTGCTGAAGACAGAGAGTCTCAAAAGGGCCGGCATGCTGCGACGTGTTGCTCAGGAGAAGGTTGATGTTCTGGGCTCATCCTGATGCTATGGTGTCGTCTTTGAATCTACCCACACAGATTCTCAGGCTGTGTGAAAGTTAGATTTGTCCCCTTGCACTTGGTGATCAGATACCTGAGTTGCGTGATACCGGGTTTCCCTTTTGCTGCTTCATGGAAGAATCACTAAACGTGACGGGGGGCCATGACTTCGCACACTGCACGAGGAAGCTTTTTAGTTCTCCGGGGTGTCGCATCGACTTGATCCTCCCATGTAACCTGTTATGCAGTCACGCCCGATGCTGATCTCTTGTGTGATGCACCGCATGTGATGGCTTGATTGCTTCGGCGATGAGCACGCAATAATGTTGACAGGTGGCTCTTGACATTGGGCCGTTGCCGTGCTCTGCGAGCATCCAAGACGCACAGCCTAGCACGACATTTACTTTGGACGTCGTTTCTTGCGTAGATTTTCTGCTTAAGATGGTCGCTGTAGGGTATATAGTCGCCGCATGTCGCCGCCATGCCGGGGCCTTTGTTCCTCTTTCAAGGAGGACCAAGGCGCACGGAAGGCGCTACCCGCTCCGGAGGACACGGGCTGGCGCCATCAGGAAATGTCGAGGAGCGCGAAGACCCCGTGGTACGAAGGTTGAAAGCCACAATCGTCTCAGACAGCTACCTCCAGTGGCGGCTCGACGAGGGCGAAGGCTCTGCGGAGCAGAGGTTCTTCGCTTTCCAGTCGTGGATCGAAAGGGCACTTAGAGGTCGACTTCCTCCGCCTGGAGTTGCTCCGAAGCATCCCTCTGGGGGAGCTTGGGAGCCCTCGGCAGCCTGCTTGGCTCCAGTGGCCTTCCAGTGAAAGTTGGATCGCCTTGCTTCTTTGGGTCCTCCGATGCTCCTGCAACTCTTCTTGGGGTGGGGCACTTGGCTCAGACAAGCCGGTGGGCCTAGACGTAGAACTCCCCAGGGATTTGAAGGATCCTGGGCAGGGTCGAAGGGATAAACGCAAAAGGCCGGGATAAGTCGCTTGAGCGGTGTGCCAAAGAACCACGCGAGCGGGAGCGACCAGATGGCCCTTGCAGTGTTTCCGCAGACACGAGCCCCGGTCTAAGAACCGGAAGAACAAAACGAGCAAAAAGAAGAGTGGTGGAGCCCTTTCCGTGCCACGCCTTCTGGCCGGCTTCCTTCATCGCGTGGAAAGACACCTGGATGGCCTTCACCCGCTCTGAGCCAGGATGTCTGCGGCACGCCGCGTCTCCCCCTCCACTACGATGTCCAGGGCCTTGCAGAGAGGGGCTACCTCAGCTGTCGCAATCCCAGCTTCTGCCGGAACTCGCCTCGGCGGGGGAGGTCGTTTTCGGCTGCAAAGTTCAGCCCCCCCATGCCGTACGACGTACGAGCAACCGGGTGATGAAGGTGGCCTAGCTGCGCCGCTGCATGAGAGTGCCATCCCTCGCGACCCTCAGGGACACCGCATCACGAACGGCGCCGGGGCGGTGGAGAAGAGGACGATGGTGGATGGGAAGGAGAAGGAGGTTTCATCAGCAATTTTTCGCAAGTTGCGTGACTCGCATCAAGAAGCGCATTTCACCTGCGTTCGGACTGAAACAGTTGTTTATCGCGAGTTGCGCGATTCGCATTGAGAAGCGCGTTTTACCTGCAGACCGCTAGTTGGGCTGGCATGACGTGCGGCCCACAAACAAATTTTGTCCGTCCGTGCATTTGAGCATGACATGTTTAGAGGCAAATGCAACGCTGTGTCGATCGCACGAGCATTCGTCACGCCTGCATGTGTGGATGCAAGCGCGCAGCTTCTTTTTTGCTGGTGTTTCTTCGCCTCATGGGGCTCGGCGGTCGCTGCTGCTGGTGTGCGAGACGAAGTTACCTTCTTCCTTCAACCTCTTCAGGATGCCCGACGTTTGGCTGCCCTATTTCTCGTGTGCCATGAAGGTCCCCGGCCACATCTTCGGCTCCACAGAGGAGTGGGTGAGGCCAGCCGTAAGGGTCATCCCCATCGGCTGGTCGTCTGCCGTCACCATCATGTCAGAAATTGTGTTTTCGACAAAGCGGGGCGTTGTTTGAGGCTTTGGAGGTGGCGAAGATCCAGCAGGTACCCGCTGAGGCCGGGGCAATCCTGTACAGGGAAAATCCTAACCGATTGGAGTTGTCCTGACTGCGGCAGTGAAACTGTTAGGTGAGTTTTGCTTTAGGTCTGCAAACCCAAATGGACATGACAGTGTTGATGCAGCATCTGCCCTCTGGTAAGTTTTCGCTTTGGCTGTTCCCTGTCAGTCATGGCTTCAGGCCGTAGACAGGACAACTGCAGAGACGACCGCGGCATTTCAGAAATCGCCGTTGCACATGATTCCCTGCTTGGATGAGCTTACGGAGAACTGCAAGTTCCGCGTTGGTTTGACCTGCACGGACAGGTTTACAACCAATGTCAAAGCTGAGAGACACACGCGCTCTGCCATCAATGGAGTGGTATCTCATCAACTGTGCGACATTCATCGTCTGGCAGGGTGTCAAAGCCGAGTCTTGAGTATGGTGGATGGACACATATCGGGAATGATTGCGAGACCGCCCTGGCCTGGTCCGATGCTGGCAACACGGGTCGCCATGGCCAAAGTCCTAAGGTCCTACGGGGCAATGTTCGTGTATGCTCCGGTGCTCCTCCAAAGAATCCAGAGCATGTTGCGTATAGACAAGCCGTGCTCGATGCCTTTCTTCCATTGGGCAGAAGAAGTAAGCAAGGCATCGGAGATGAAGACGATCCAGATGCATTGACCAAGAAGGAGTTGACACTGAAAGTCCGCAAACAGCGGGCCATCATTCCTATATCTTGCATGATGACCTCCAGAACACCGAAGACATTTGCTTCTTGGTTGAGCAGGTGGTCCGTGTTATGGAGAGATTTGTCCATTCCTGCCCTCCTTCCGACCCGCCCACCGTTGTTTGCTAGAAACAGGTGGACCGGCTTCTCTGCTTTGGTTCGGGCTCTCGGAGTGTTGCCGCTCCTTGCTGTCAGTTTCGATTCGGGAGTACCTGTCACCCAAGGTGCAAGCAGCACATGTGCAGTTGCAACAGGTGGCTCTAGCAGCAGGCCACAGATTTGAAGAAAATGCTCCCAAGCTAGATGACGATCTCGATGAGGATGATGAACAGGCTGCGGCAATGCGACGAGAAACAGATGCTTTGACGAGTAACATGGACTGGACAGCTTTGAAGCTGAGAATGAAACAGAAAACGTTGACATGGTTCCAACAAGAAATCTTACCAGCTTCGGTAGCCATCAACATTGCAGTGGCGCCTTTGTCCCGTCTCTTCGGTCGCACCCCCTCGGACAAAGGAAGTACGTCTTGGGAGAAAGTTCAGCAAGCCAAGGCCGCAAATGACTGTGCGAGAACCTTTCCCGCGCTTGAGGCTGCTTGTGGTACAGACTACGTCTGATTCGTGCAGATATGAAACAGGCTTTCCATGAGCATGTGGTCCCACTGCCCTTTCTTTGAGTCTTGTCTCCAGCATGTCCAAGCTCTGCATTTCCGAATGCTGAGCAGAAGCTTGTGCTCTGTTGAAGTTCATCTCACAAGCTGGAGCACATGTCCCATCAAGTCGTTTCTTGCGCTGGGTGGTCGAAATGATGCAATATTAGACAAGCCCTGCCTTGTTGCCCTATAACACAGGCTCTGCTTGCAGAGTATGATGATCTCGAGGCACGCTGCGAACCGACGACCGACCGCTGTTGGTGGTGTTCAAACAAAGGTTCCTGAGCTGGCACTGCTCAATGCCGAATTCGTCTTGAGGTCCAATCGGTTGAAACGTGCCGATGTGATTCCTCTCGAGACCTGGGTCAAGGACAACGCCGAAGACAGCTCCTCAAGTCCGCAAAAACCAAGCATGGAATGCTTACCAGAGTGCGCACATCGGCGGCCCCAGGTCCGCTCAGGGTGGCCGTCACAGGTCATAAAGCAGCCGAGCCCTCAGCGCGTGCCTAGAAAGAGGCTTCCTTCTCAACACCTCCAAGAGCCTCCAAGGCTCTGGCCGGGGCCATTGCAGGAGAGGGAGCGTCCTGGACGGCGAAAAAGGCTGCCTGTGCTGCGTTTGCCATCCTTGGGCCTTGGGACTCTTTCCTCTCTGGTACTTGTCGGAAAAGGAGGAGCTCAGGAAAAAGGGAGGAATGTTCTCCGTTGAGGCCCACCCTCGCAGGCCAGACTGCCGTGAGCACAACTGGCAAGAGGAGGCGTGTTACGACTCGTCTGGGCGGATCCGATTCGCCAGAGATCACGCTGGTTCCAGGCTGTGTGATACTCTTGCCCTCGGCATCCAGCAGATATCGAGGAGGTTTGTACCGCACCCTTGAGTAGCAGTTGATGGTCCAGCTCAGAGGAGCGACGGCGAGCCTTCGCTCACTCGCTGCGGCGGAGATGGTGGGAGAGGTTTTGGCTCCAGGATCCCAGGGAGCATCTCCGCAAGATGTGGCCACTATCGTGGCGCAGAGGTTCGGCTCACGGGTCCCTCAGGCCTGGACAACCCGAGGCTCCTGCCCTACCTGGCGGACCACATCCTCGCGAAGGGGAGGGCGCACGGCAAGAGGCTCATTCGGTTGGCTAGACGGGTGAACTCTGTTCGGCATGGAACTTTGCTGATACGGCCTCTAGACGCTTTGCCCCCCCACCATCATGGCCTCCAAGTTGCACTGGGCTGAACACCAAATTCCGTGCCAACTGTCTCCGAGCCTTGCTTCGCTTGTTTGCCTTCTTCGAGAGGGAAAGCCTTTGCATGCCCATCACGGTCAAAGAGCTTGACTTCGCTCTTAGTGAGTTTATGAACGAATCCTTTCAAACAGGAGACTCACCTGGGTATGCTGGTGCCGCCGTTTCGGCGCTCAAAAGCTTTCTCCCCCGTCTGCGCTTGAGGCTTTATACTGCCACTCAGCTTTATTCCAAATGGGTCAAAGTTTACAAGCCCTTCCGTGCCACTCCCTTGACCAAGCCATGGCGCTCTTCTGGGCAGCAGCGTTTGGCTGTTGCCCTTCTTGTTCAATTCCTTTTCTTCTTGAGAACTTCTGAAATTTACGGGCTGAGGCCGAGTGACGTGTCCTGTCTTAACAGCGGGCACGCCGTGGTGGCTCTGCCACACACCAAGACGAGCCACCCGAGGCAGAGCTCAAAGTGTCTCGCTCTTGACCCCTTTTTGTGCCGGGTTCTCCCCTCGTTCCCGACTCGTCTCTGTAGATCTTTCGGGCAAGATTCCAGAAGCTTGTTGTTTTCTTAGGCCTCCACGAAGGGGAAATGCCCTGTGGCCGTAGAACGGGGGGCCACCCTACACTGGCATTGAAGCGACAATGCTCATGGGAAGAAGGCAGATCAAAGGACCTGCCGCATTTACCAGGACGAATCCCGCGCACTGCTGGTGCAGCAACTCCTTGTTTCTACCCTCCCATGCCTCCCTTTGTTTGTCCAGCAATGCCAGCTCTTGCTTCAAAAGCGGTAACCCTGCGCGAGGGAGGCAACCGCTCCGCAGTTTTGGGACTTGGAGCGCGCCGAGGTGCAGTTTCACTTAAGATTCTTAAAACCTTCCACCAGCGGGTGAGTAAAGGTCCTTTTGTGCTGGGGGCTTGCCGGCCCATGGGGCCCCCCTGCTTTTCACCCGCGCAGTGGCACCCGCCACAGAGCGCGGATCCAGATCGGTGCCTCGGTCAAAAAGATTTGCCTAGCGGCCTCTGGCGAGTCCAAAGCAATGTAGGACTCGTAAAAAACCACAATGGAAGCAGGAACAGACAATGCTTCGGGCAGGTTTGCATATGGTCTTCTGTCTTGGTTTCCATGCTCTTTCCATACCCTCATTATCTGACATGTCGCAGGACCAAAATGCAGAGCCCATATTGCAATGTTTCCGAGGCGACTGTTTTTTGTTGAAGAAAACGACCTGGGGCGAACCATTCCGGACGCGGGTCATGGGCTTTCGTGGGGCAGTGGGCTCTGTTCTAATCTATCAAGCGACTGTTGCCCGTGAGGGATTTCCTCAATGCGCATGCAGAGGCTTGGAGCTACGATCATGCCGCATTGCGGGCCAACCAACCATCGACTGAGGCCGAGCTCTTGTGAGTCGTGTCGTCGCAGCGGGACTTGTGGAAGGCTTCATTTGCCCTTGCTGCTTCCTGGTGGAGCGCAGCGGATGTCCGGCCTCACAGTGGCCGGCGAGACACGTGATTGGGAGCTTCACAGGTGCTCGTGACAGCGGAGGATCTTGGCTTTTCTTCGCCTAGTCAGCCTAGTCCAGCTTTTGCATGCTTTTGCCCAAGTCAAGCTTCGTACTCCGTACAAGGAATAGTGCCTCGTTTTCATGGCGTGAGAAAGTGCAGGTGCTTGGTCTTCGATGACAGCTTTGAGCACGAGATACGGCTACAGACTTACAATCGGCGCATTTTCAAGAGGCTAAACGTGCAATTGCCGTCGCCTCCAGGCTTCCACCAAGTCAAAGCGGCGAGCCTGAGCCCAGCCTGGCTCAAGAAGCAAGAGCCGGACGCCCGGCGACGCACAGACTAAGCGAGGAAGGCACAGCCTTGGAGTGGCCACTTTCAGGTCGTGCTGCTACTGGACCTGTGGCATCCGGACGCAGACGAGAATCTCAGGCCTCCACGCCCACTTATAGTGACTAGTGGAGTTTATGAAGATTTGGGGCACACCAGCCGGAGGTCTGGAAGCTCGAAACCCGTTGCGAGCGCGGAAAATGGGTTCAGCTAAGCTTGCAGTTACTTGCACTTATCTTCGTGGAGCTGCTAGACTTTTGACTGCACCCGCTCCGGTCACAGGGCCTCAAGCAGGTTGACGGTGACTCCTCGGGCAGGGAGAGTACACGAAGAAGCAGGTCCAAGCAGGCTTGCAGCCCTCTCTGTCTTTGCGGTCTTGTGAGACTCCGTCAGCCAATGACAGGGCATCACTTCGACCAACTGACCAGCCAGTGTCCAAGAGCTTAAAGCTCCTCTGGGCAGGCCGACGTTTCTCGGCCTCCGGGTTGCCACCGTTTCTTTGCCCAAAGTGGCAGTTTCACCAAAACCGATCCAAAGGCGTGACGGTACAGGTTGGGAACAAGTTCTGCTCTCTGCGCCTGTCACTGAGACGGGGGCGACACTTGGTCCATGGGATTGCTGTCATTTCGTGCTAACACACAGACGGGAGAAGCCGCTGTCGCACGTTGCAGTAGGCTTAGCTGCTGCGCACGACGAGAGCATGGGAGAGCAGATAGAGCAGCCGTCAGCTTATTATTTTACTTTGTGCAGTCCAGATGTGCGGACGGTTCTTGAGCAATGTGCAAGACTGGCTGCAGCAATCCAGGCTCCAACTGCAGCGATGCACACTTGCTGCCTTCAGCTGGCCTCACTGCCAAGCCTTTGCAATGCAGGACGGCTAGATAAGTTGATACTGTATACCTCACAACCCCTTGTTTCATGCCCGAGACAGCGCAGTGCTTCCATTTTCAGCAAATAGATAGCAAGAAGAAATGGCACGAGCCATGGAAGAGAAAGAGGAGCAAGAACCGCCTAGGAAGAGGAGGCAGCTGTCGAAGTTCCAAGTTCCGAAGAAATCCGGCAAAACTGAAATCGGCACGGCCGAAGCGTGCCCTATTCTTGCTCCACAAGCGAGTCAGGATTTCGAGGCGTTGGACCATGAGACCGACAGTGCGTGGAAAGAGACCGGAAAGTCGCAACGGACTTTGTCGAGACTACAATCAGCTACGGAAGAGACAGCGCAGCAACTTCCCAGCCTTTCGTCTTCCCAGGACTTGTTGTCTGATCAGACAGTGCACTACACTCTCAGACTGTCAACAAGCTGCATGTCCTGGAAATGGCTCAGACGTCTGCCGACGGCTCTGCTGTGCCAACGGGATAAAAAAGATCTCAGTGATCCCGTGCGAGCTGCTGCTCTCGAAGCCTGCAGAGCTAACCTCCCCTGCCTCTTGGCCGACGAGAGCAAAGCGCTGGCCTGGCTTAGTGCGATCGCTGCCAGCCTCTCCTGGTACGAGCTGGAAGGCCCCACAAGAGACTCTGGGCAGGACGAGGTTCAGGATGTCCAAGAGTGGGACAAGGCTTATGGAAGCTTGTGGCTGTTGCTCCAGCAGGGCGCGCTGCCTTCATTCAGCATCGAAGCAGAGCGTTTCTCGGTGCTTGTTTTCGGTGAAGGCGCTGGGACATGGACATCGCCGCCCGACGGGCAGCAAACAAAGCCTACTCGCGCCGAGCCTTTTGCGATTCTGTGGCCTTCAAGCCGTGAATTGAGGAGCATGCTGCAGGAAAACCGTGTGTACTTTGACGTGGCACCTCCAGCACTGCATCAGCAAGCTTCGACAGCTGAGCTGCCGAAATCCTCGGCGGGTGACAGCGGTTGCGCTGGTGGCTCAAGTGCAGTTGTTCCGCTTGTTGAGGGGGGCACAAGTGCCGAGAACTGCGTGCCCCAGGCAACGAGGCAGGACTTATTGGAATTGCGACGTGACGGCGAGCGAGCAAAGACACCGGGAGATGGAGAGCACGACTTCAAGAACAAAACGGCCTTGAGATTTCAAGGGAGCTGGCGGGTCCACTTATTGCTAAATGCACTCCGACAGCACTTCCTGGGACACCCAATGGCTTCTGCCGTCAAGATGCGGGATGCCAAGAGAGGGTTGTCACACAGCCCTAGGCCCTAGCTTTTCTGAGCCAAGGCCTCAGAAGTTGCCGAAGTTGCTGGCTCCTGCATCCTTTGCCAATTCAGCCGTGCTTCCGGGCATGTTTCACTGCCACTTGCTATGCCTGACTGAGTTGGTCTGTCTTCACGGCAGGTGAAGTCGGTGCAAGTCGTGTCGCGCCAAGTCCGTTCATGTCGGCAGAGCAGTGCGCCTGACGCAGACACCGAGCGAGGACAGAGCAGCCCGCCACCCGGCAGGCAACGAAACTGGAGGCGATTCAGTTGTCAAATGAGCTGCACCTACAACTAAAGACAGGTAGCCTGCCTGGTACTTGCCACTGTCTGCGCAGGTGGTGAGTTCTTTGCAGAACTTCGAGGCTGTCGTCAGTTTTTAACGTGGCATAGTAATAGTTCCGTGGCCGGGGTTTTCAAGGGGCACTCGGACCGCTGCATCTGCTTCCGGCCTTTTGTAATTAAGGCAGATGGTTTCCTTCTCAGACTCGGAAGTTCCTCGAGCAGCGCGCCAAGTTCGTATTTTCCACTTTCTGCCCGACAAAAGCAGCAGCTTGTTTGCAGGCTCTTGCGTGTCATTGTGCCGAAGTTCAGTCGCAGCCCTGGCTGCCTAGAATCTAGCCGAGAAATCCTGCCGTGCGATGCCGATGGATTAGAAGGCTGCACGTTTACATCTCCACTGCGACATGGGCCTGGCTTGGGCCTCTGTCAGCAGGTCAATGTGTCGCCGTTGTTCCAGCATGGCTTGTCGCCCCAGGCTCGAACGCGTTTACGCAGCTGGGGCAGAGGTGGCCGTCTGGGTCCATCCCGAGATGCATGACAAGTTTCGACGAACTGGGACAGGCGAATTGCGGCAGTGCGTTCCGAGAAAGACAGCGCGGATCCTTGACTGCGGGCAAGTGTAAGAGGTGATGACATGTACCGAATTCAGGTTCGGGCACATGGCCTGGGGCTGAGTTCTGGCGCCTGGCAATTCGCGAACATCCCACAATGCACCAAGGAAGTGGCTCTTCGACGTGGTCTAAGCTTCGCTCGCGAGGCATTTGTCGCAGACCACACCGGACGGCCAGTTTTAGCGGTCGGAGCCAAGCACAAATCTGGCATGTACAGCGGGGAGCTCATGGCAACCTGACCGGGCTTTTCCATGTGACCAAGATGCAACGCAGGGGTGCGCGGTCAAGCGAAAGAGAGCAGCTGCAAACATGCCATTCTTCAAGTTCTTCGTCAAGTAGTCTTTGCTGAAGCTGTGCGTGACCGGTCGGCCGTTCGCTAGCTGCTTCATAAAAGTTACAGGATTTCGGTAGAGCTTGTTGATGTCGCAATGCCCCAGGCAAGGGCTTAGTCATGTTTTTGGGCTGTTGTCTGTGGACTCTTGGTAGCCAGACAGCTGTGGGACAGGTGACTGTGAAGCGATTGCAGCTCCGTGGCAGCATTTGGCAGTGTGAAGAAGACGTAGAATGGTGGCACACTCTCCACATGGCGGTGCGTGATGCCCTGCATAGTTGACAGTGCTTGCCACAGCCAGGCAACAGAACTGCGTCAACAATGGGCTGGCACTATTTACAACTTCAGCACAAGAACGCACTACAAAGGGGGATAGGAGGCCACAGCAAGCAAGCACAAAGTCAAGCCACCCGCAGCAGGATTTGTCAAGCCACCTCTAACGGTACATGACGGTACCGAGTCGGGCAGTACCGACAGTGCTGCAGCCGGACAGTACCCATGCTGGAAGATCTTCAGGGAGCAGGCGAAAATCATCACGAGCTTGCTATCTACCGTTTCACTTCTCGCTGTGCTCCTTTTGAAAGGGGACCCTTCCCTTACCGATGCCCCTCAGCTTCACTCCTGCGTCTGCTGCGACTTCACGCTAAAGCTGCCCAAAGCCCAAGTTCTGGCCACGGTTCATTGCGCTTCTGGCACATCCCATAGTGCCCGCATCTCCCTGGGGAGGGTTCTGTGTTACGCATTGTTGCTGGTGCAACAGCTTTTTCGGCGTACTCTCACGGGCTCTGCCTTGGTGGTCGTCGCCTTCCTATGCCATTTCCATTGCACGTACCGAGCCTTGGGCCCCAACAGTTCTGGCGGCAAACTTCAGCATTCAGCACTCGCTTGTCACACGACCTGTGTATTCGAGCGAAAGACATGGACATCTTATGGAAGAAACTCAGGCCTTCCGAATGCCCTAACTACGACGAGGCCAACATCCCGGCTCTCAGGGACAGGGACGAGGCAAAAACGATCAGACGCTTCGCGGCGAGGAGTATGAAAACACGCTGTTTGCCATTACAATTAAAACATGGAAATGCAACATGAAGGCTCAGTTTCACGTAGAGCGAAGTAGATTGTAAAGCAAACTCAGCCTGAAGTCATGGGGCCTCATAGTCCGAAACGCACACCACGCTGCAAGCAGTATGCCTTGGTCAACATGGTAAATTACTGGAGGCAATTCTGGACCAAAACCCGGTGGACATCGGGGGAACAAGTTGCGGTAATGGACAAACTAGTGGCCACTCTGCGGAAGCATGCCAACAAGCTTGAATCGGGTGATCCTCCTAACCTGGCTTCATTAAGGAGGCCAGAAGATGCAAAGGGACCCCTGGATTAGATGGTTGTGCCAAGTTTGAGATCAAGTGCTTACCAAGCGCAGCGTTGGGTGAAATTTGGGACTCCCTGGGTGAGGCTATGTATGCTGGATGCGCGCATGACATGTTCAACCATGCGAGAGTGGTGATGCTCATAAAGCCCAACAAAGTCAATGATCATGCGCAAATCCAGCCAGAGGGTTTGAGACACTCGCGACTACTTGGGTCCCTGACTGGATTGCTGGCGGGTCGGGTTCCGAAGGGCCGGAAACTATTGCAGCGAGTGCGGAAAGCGAGCTCAATGGGGGGCCATTTGGCCACTCTCATGCCCTTGGTACTGTCTCGGCTGTATGAGAAAGTGATGTCTAAGCTTCTGCCTGGCTCTATGTCTCTATGTTGGGTTGGAATCGTTTGATGGTCCACATTCGAGCGCGGTTTGCGTACCTCAAGCGGATCCAGCCTCACCATTGGCATTGGCAATAATCTTGGCAGCTGCGGCCTTGGCGGTTCGAAATACGTGTCAGGAGGACGGCTTTTGCATCAAGCAGTTGATTTACATGGGTGATCGAAACATGTCCGCTTCGAGTGCAAATCAGCTTAAGACGATGGTGCAGTGTTGGGAATTTGAGACCGCGTCTATGAAGTTCGTTGAACATGGGGGAAATCGCAGTTCGCTCACACAGACGACCCCAACTTCGCTCCTTGGATCCTACTTGGGTGGTGTCGCGCCTGAAAAAATCAACAACTTCGAGCTCGAAATCGCCTAGCGGTCCGCTTTCTAAAGTGATGTGTGGAGCGATCTCGCCGCCACCTTCGAAGCAAGAGGTTTTATATGCAGTATGACAGAAAGCTCTGGCAAATGGCGGGTAAGTTGAACTACCTGGTGTCATCTGAGATCGTTGATTCGCAGTGCTTTTAACCAGTGCACTCCAGCCTACGTTTGCAGGGCTGTCAACTTGCTTCAGCGACCAACACAGTGGCCACACTGCTTGATTTCAATCCGGACGCTGCTCCCGCTACGGTTGTTGGTCCGTGATGCTCTTGGTCAGTTTGGTTGGATTGTGGAGGGGAATGGTTGGCGACGTGCGGATGGCGGCTTCTTCGACTTGAGTTCGGATGTGCTTCGTGTGAGGCACATGTTGCGGGAGTCTTGGCGCCGATTTCACTATGGTAAGTTGGCTACCAGTAACAGGCATGAGCTGCCCGGTGAAGTGATTCCACCATACGATGAGCAAAGAGATGGACCAAGGTCAGGAAGAAAGCGCGCTTGCACAATGTGGTGCCATTCAAAGTGCAAAAGTGCGTGCATTAGGGCTTGGGGAAAGAGATTCGGCGCGGAATTTGCCAACAAGTTGGCAATTCGTAGGATCAGCTCAGATGCCGTGTTAAGCAGGCAGCACCCGTGCATCTCTCTCGCTCGAGAGAGTCGATTGAGCAAGATGTCCTTTCTAGGCGCTTTTTGTGGGATCCGCAATGGATTCCGTTCTATGCTTCCAAAATGAAGAAACAATTGCAGTGAGAGTGAATCTACATGGCATCCATTCGGTTCCGGCTTTCGCGCTCTCACGGGAGGTTTTTGTGATGTCGGGTCCCTCCGTATTGGTTTGGTTGAGGCGGACATTTAGACAACGACTACCACCTTATGAACATGATCCTTGTTGTAATGTTGGTAAGTTTCATACCAACCGCGACGATCAGCTCCTGCGCCATATCCACTACTACACCGGTTCCTCATCTGTCACGGGTAGACATGTTTCCTCATGCTTAGATCTAGATTCTAGATCCTTCGAGCCGAATCAATGCTGTTTGCCCTCTTCAGCACTGCTCCACTTCCTGTGCAGGGTTTCTTTTTGGAGCCACTTTTGTTATGTTTTGAATGTTGAAATAAACTGTGCTTGATTTTTGCTGCGGCGCATGCCTTGGACCTTCACTGGAGCGGTTTGGAAAGTCCGCCACTGCTTGTTGAGCAGTTTTTGGAGGAAGCCATCGTGCAACTTGATTTGTGGGCCGTTCCGACCCTTGGTCACGACGAGCGAGTTGGATCCATCTCGTGAGAGGAATGGCTGTATTTTTTCGGTCAACCGAAAGCCAGCGATTTACCAGAACGCCTGTCAACTTGCATGGGCGCTCCAACACATCCAGGAAAAAAACTTTCAAGGCATGTGTCTGAGTAGGCATTTGTTCTCCGTGCGTGACACGTGGTGCATGTTTGTGGAGACGGCGCCTGTACG